TTCAATACAAAACTAGTCATTTATTAGGAGCATCATAGGCAAGATCTTTTCGCAGTCAGGTCTAAGTTTGTTTGATTTATAGCTGCACTTTACCCCTGTTTCTTCCCTCCCCTCAATCTGTGTCATAAATCACATTCCCCTATGAGATGCACCCCTCCCAAGCCTGCTGCAGTAATCTGAGATCCGACTTCACCCGACAGTACACATGGAATGCACTCCCCCCACTTCTCTCACTATGACAACGTTGGGAATTGACACATAGTCGTTAAGTGAATCTGATTTGGCTTGTCAGAAGGTGGCAAAGGGGGATCACATGACCTCAGGACACTGCAACAGTTATAAATGTGAGTCAGTTGCCAAGCATCTGTGAATTCTGATCACGTACCATGGGGATGCTGCAACCGTCGTAAGTGTGAAGAACAGTCATAAATCACTTTTTTTCAGTGCCATTGTAACTTCGAACGGCCACTAAATGAATGGTTGTAAGTCAAGGACTACCTGCACACTGAGTCCTCGGTGGGATGACAAATGCATTATCCTTGTCAACAGTGAGGTTATAACAGTGTTCATATTACAAAGCGGGAATGCAGGGTTAATCCTAATTCCTGCTACAGTTTAAAGATGAAACTGAGATTAGTGAGCATTTCTTTCTTGTCTAGTACAGATAATCCTTACAAGTTATTGTCACCACACCACGAAAACAACTGGCCCACCTCAATTTAACGTTACAACAGCAATAAAAAAGAAAAAGCAACTTTGAAGAGATGCTTGCACGTACAACTCTCGTAGCATCCGAAGTCACATACCGTATTTTTCGGAGTATAACACGCAGCAAGGTTTTGAAGAGGCAATTTTTTTAAAAAAGGTTTTGCACTCTACAAACTTCGTGAAAACGAGTCCCCCCCCCCCCAAAAAAGGGCATGAATATCCTTTAGGAGGCTTGTAGAGTACTTCTGGGAGGTTGTGGGGCAGGGGCAAAAACGAGCAGAAAACGGGTCCGTTTTTTGTCCAAAAAAAGGGTATGGATAGCCTTTAGGAAGCTTATAGAGTGCTCCTGGGAGGTTGCGGGGGGGTTTGCTAGTTTCTGCCCTCTGGGTGAAGGGGGTGGGATTTTGGGAGGCAAAAAGTGCTGTATTCAGTGTATAAGACGCACACAGATTTTCAGCCTCTTTTTTGAAGGAAAAGGGTGCATCTTATACTCTGAAAAATACGGTAATCAACATTTGGGTGTTTGGCTACTGGCATGTATTTATAGTGGTTGTAGCATCCCTGGGTCATGTGACTGCCATTTGTGTCTTTCTCAGCTGGCTTCCGACAAGCAAAGTCAATAGGAGGGGAGTATCTGGATTCACTTAGTGACCACATGATTTACTTAATAACTGCAGTGAAAGGTCTGTTGTTAAGGGAATCACTGTGGTTGTTAAGTTCGTAACATGGTGTAAGGTTTCCTAAAAATGCCCTAATTGATTCATGAGTATCAAGTCAAGTTTCAATACAACCATGCCAAAAAAGGTCATAAAATCAGGCATGACTCGCTTAACAACTATTTTGCTTAGGAATGGCCCCCAACTGTGGCCATAAGTCAAGGTCTACATGTATCTCCTGTAAAAATGTTCTGGAGAGGATATGCCTTTAAATGGCTCCAGGAGACTCAGTTTGCATACCAAATTGTGCAGATTTGCACAGAGATTTGAGCAACTGAGCAGTCCCCTCTGGTTTCTGGTGTGGTCTGTCAGGGCTTACGCTTTCTGTTTGGTCAATCCTGTTCGGTTGTGACTTCCTAAATATACCACAATATCTGAGTTCTGCTGGGACTCCACAGGTAATGTGAACTGCCTGCTCTGACTGAGAACCCACAATATCTGGCTTAATGTGATGCATAAGCCCAGCCTATCATGCCTTCTTCCCCAAACTATGACCAGAGGAATCAAAATAGTTTAATGCTTGAGTTGGATCACAAATTATTTGAGGTCTTTAACTGCTCCTTGGATCAGACAGCAATGCATTCGGCGAGAAAGTGTTTCGAATGAACAAGACAATAATTCTCAATTCCTCTTGAGAAATAGTTTTGCCTGTTAGATAATAACTTGCAAGCACTACAGACAGTGGTGGGATTCAGGCAGTTCGCACCAGAGGTGGGTTGCTACCAGTTCGCACCGGTTTGTGCAAATGGATAGTGGAAATTGGGACTGGGTCATCAAACTAGTAGGGACAGCAGGCTGGCCATGCCCCCAAACCTGTTCCCCGGTTGCCCATGCCGTTGCCAGCATGGTTTTTAGACATTTTACAGGCAACTGTGCATGTGCAAGCAAAGCGAACTGGCAGTAACGCCAGCAGCAACTCACCCCGATTCGCACCTATTTGAGAGAACCAGTTGTTAACTTTCTAATCGGATTGGAGAACCGGTTGTTGGAAAAAATCTTCTTTGTTTTTTCCCACTTTACAGGACTAATCCTGTAAGGAAGGCAGGAAGGAAACATTCTGATGTTGCTTCTAGCTTAATCTTTATTGCCCTGCTTACAGAAACTGCCTCTCCGATTAATCCTTATTTCATTGTAACAGTTAAAGGCGAAGCGCTCATCAACCTGAGTGGCGTTGAGTTAGCCATGACCACCGAGCCCCCCCCAGAGCTGGTCATTAGGGCAGAGGTTGTTAAATTATTTAAACCCCACCACTGATACAGATGAGAAGTGTAATCCCTTAATTTGAGGAAAAAAGAAGGAGGGGGTGAGATTTGTTTCTTCTAAAGGGCCTGCTCTCACATAGTTACAGATTACTTAAAATCTAGGAGAAAAAAGTAAGCACATTTTTTGGGGGCGGGCATGCAATTCCCATTAATCTGCTGTGAATCCTATGGGTTATTCAACTAACGTTTAAATTTGAAGTCTACCTCAAGCAATACACAAGATAAACAAACAGAAAAGGTGAACAGAAACATTAATTGTGTTACTGAAAAACTGCATGGATTTGATAATTTTTGGCCATTTCCCCCCTCCTCAAATCTCTTAAAATTCTACTGAGCCCCATCTACCATTTGCTAAAATTTCATCCTGTTTTGTAGGCTTTCTCAACCTTGGCAACTTTTAAGGTGTGTGGAATGGTGGGATTCAATTTTTTTTACTACCGGTTCTGTGGGCGTGGCTTGGACGGCATGGCAGGGGAAGGATACTGCAAAATTCCCATTTCCTCCCCACTCCAGGATAAGAAAACTGCAAAATCCCCATTCCCACCCCACTCCAGGGTAAGGATACTGCAAAATCCCCATTTCCACCCCACTCCAGGGTAAGGTTACTGTAAAATTCCCATTCCTTCTCGATCAGCTGGGACTCAGGAGGCAGAGAATAGATGGTCATTTGAGTCATTTTTGAGTCATTTTGAGTCATTTAGATGGGGTGGGGCCAGTGAGAGGTGAAATTTAGTGGTTCTCCAAACTACTCAAAATTTCTGCCACCAGTTCTCCAGAACTGGTCAGAACCTGCTGAATACCACCTCTGGTGTAGACTCCCCAAATCTCCCTGCCAGCAATTCTGAGTGTTAAAATCCACACATATTAAAATTGCTAAGGTTGAGAAACATTGCTCCGTTGGTAAGTTCATGCTTCTTTTGGTAACCATTGAGACCTAGGACCTTGACTCTTTAAAAAATGTGGAACACTTCATCCTGCACTTACATGCTTGTCTAAAACGGTGTTTCTCAATCTCAGCAACTTGAGGTGATGTCTTCAACTCCCAGAATTCTCCAGGCACTATGACTGGCTAGGGAAGTCTAGGAGTTGAAGTCCACACATCTTCATGGTGCCGAGATTGAAAACCATTGGTCTAACACAGAAGTGTGAATCTCACGTCGTCACGTGATGTATCGCAACTTTTTCCTCTTCGCTAAACCGGGAGTGGGCGTGGCCAGCATATGATGCATCCACCTGCGGGCTGCGAGTTTGACACCCCTGGTCTAACACATATACTAGAACAGAGTTGGCGAACCTTTTCAGGACCAAGTGCCCAAACCGGAACACACAGGTATGTGCCTGTGTGTGCATGTGCGTGTGCCGGAACCGGAAAGACCAGCTGGCACATGCCTTTTTTTTCCTGCCATTTTTCAGGCCATTTCCAGGCTGTTTTCCGGGCTGTTTTCCAAAAGTGGCCCGGAAAAGGTCCCCAAAATGGCTGGTTTTGGCCACATTCCGGCGTTCCAGCACCTGTGAAGACCAGCTGGCCGGCGTGCATGTGTGTGTGGGAAACCAGAAGAACAGCTGGCGACTGCGTGCATGCCCACAGAGAGGGCGCTGCATGCCACCTCTAGCATACCTGCCATAGATTCGCCATCATAGTACTAGAAAGTCTCTCTCTCTCTCTCCTTCCTTCCTTCCTTCCTTCTTTTCTCTCGCTCTCTCTTTCTTCTCTTATCAGTTTACCCCTGTCACCTAGTTCCAGGACTATTGATAGGATGGATTTAAAATTGGGGCCCCCTTCTTCCCATCCCTCGCTATGACACAGCTGCAGGTCCCCAGAGGGGTCTCTTACTTCTACTGGGTGAGTTCCAGAGAGTGGCGGAAGATTTGGAGAGGCGCTTGTTGATTATAGAGTCCACATGTTTGGGGAGATTTACAGCAGAGAGGGAGCACCTGCTTGCACCTACAGAGGGAAAAGACACACAGGTGTGAGGGGCGGGGGGGGGGGGGGGGGGGGGG